TGGTGATTCGTATCGATAAAATGTGCGTGAATAGAGCTCTGAAAATAAGAAAACACCGCATGGCCTTCAAGTAAATGTATAATTATCAGTGACATCCTTGAATCTACTTCCGAGATCCAAAAGGTAAGAATATATGAGGAAACAGAACTAATCCAACAACTCCTCACTTCCCTCTTAAAGGGGGACGAGACAGTCACTGCTCAACAGCCTTCAAGATGGACAGAATAAGAGACTTAAAGGATGAGTCAGGTCAAACAAGGCCCCTCAAGCTTGTTTTTCAGAATGACGTAGAAGCTCAGTTAATTCTGAGTAGGAAACCCCTACTCCAAAACGCCCACACAACGATTTTTCAGTCGCGGCACGGAGCAACTCCGAGAGCTCAAGACAGAACTCCTCATGAAATTCAGATTGGGCGGGAGCAATCGAAAAATCCTGATTGGAGAAATTATATATGCCCATGGGTTATATCTCTGGAGAAGGGTCATAACACTGAGTGTGGTGGGCACTCATACTATAAAAAGCAGCAGTCGTTGCTGCATAGTCATTTGGCGCAAATGGCGATAAACACATCGACTACCAGGTCGATCAACCAGTAGCAAGCTCGATCTCCGACAATGAACTAGACAAGCCATACGACATATCTAGCAACTGGACCCAAATACCGTTCGAAAAGCTATCCGGGTTAAACTGCGCTTCCATTAAACAGATGCACAGAGTTTGATCCAGAAGAAAGATGAACTAAAAGTGTGGGTGTCAGATGTTCATCCTGACGTAATTTCCACCAAAGAAACTCGACTACAAGCTGAAATGCTGAATGACGAAATAGCCACCGATGGATACCAACTTTTTTGGCGAGGCCGACTGCATAAAAAGGTGGAGAAATAGCCAGGTGAGAGTTCGGTCGTCGTTTCTGAGGATGTCTACCGTGTGCTCCGCAGCAAGGTGACAGCAGATGTGGTGACTTTCGTGAGTCAGTTCTTGGTGAGAGCAGACTCGCGCAGCCTCAACCGCACTCTCTCTCCTCCTCCGCCTGGACCCGATGTCAAAGCATAGTCAAGAAGACTGAGGGTGGGAGAGTGCGTAGATAATCGGCGCGGCCAAACTTACGCCTAGGCGTACCATCACATCCCTATTCCACAACAAACACTTGACCAGGATTTTAACTAACAACAAAATAAATGGGTCAGAAGGAGAAGGATAACGGGCAACCATACTCACGGCCTGTGAACCCAACGAAAGCGCAAGCGCATCTTCCGGCAGGGAACCGGGTGCTAGAGAACTGTTAGCCTTTAATGCTCCTCCTCGGCTGGGATATAAGCAGACTATGGCCGATCGCGTTTGGGTTCCTCTCGTCTCGCTACCTTGACGGCTGCTTCTGCTGACAACACAAAATATTATGATCGCATCTTCAGCGAATAATTTCATTCGGTTTAGGAATCCTACCTAAACGATGTCCGTTTAGAACTCGTATATGCTAACACACGCAGGGTGGTCCTGTTCGATCCGCCTGGTCACCTGGAAAATATGCGAAAGCGGTCTGAAGAGTTCGCAAACAAGCTCCTTCAAAACGTGTGTTAAAATTTGGTCCAGACCTCAAGATAAACATTCTTTAAAGGCGAGAATTTCCTTCCTCACATCTTATTATCTGAAAAAGATGCTTTCTATTACTGCGCCGTTCGTTCCAATGGGGAGGTCAGTCTGGTCAGAGTCCGTTTCATCTGTAAAAACGGATGCGAAAAGATGGCTTAGGTGTTCTGCTTTATCATCATTTGCGATAATGTCCTCATTGTTTTTCCTTTTTACATTGTGACCGTCCCCTTGTTATTTAACCCCTTGTTGATATAGCTAAAGAGCACTTTTGGCTTATCAACGGGCGGTTTCAAAATTTGCGTTTCATACTCCTTGCGCGACCTACGGATTTTTGACGTTATCTCATTTCGCTTTCTGCGAAACTGCTCGTAATGCAAAGGTTGTTTTGTTGCTATATACCTTCTGCAAAGTTCATTCTTCGGGTTTATCTCGATCCTTATTTCTCTCGTCATCCAGACAGGACGACTTACCTTCTGGATTCTTTATGTCGGGCATTTTCGATGCATAACTTTGATCAGAACTCCTCAGCAATGTTCTAGTCGACATCTGGATGTCCGGTAAGAACGTCATGCCAGTTTAGCACCGATAAATAACTTCCCACAGCAACAAAATTTCCTCGCTAGAAATTCAGCCGAGGTTCAGTCGCCCCCATTTGTTAGCTGTATAAGCGGTATTCCCAAACCAGCCTGACATGATCACTTTTACCAAGCAGTGCTATGAACCTAAATTTGCCAGCACCCAATGAGTCTTTTGTAGAGACGAGGCCCACACAGTTTACTCTTTGAGCCTCTTTGATTCTGGTTGGAAATGTGACATTCTGTACGAGGAACAGATTAGTTGCCAGTTTCTACAATTTGGAATCAAGGGAGTTACGCGAACCGTGCACACATTAATTGTTCCAGTCGATCATGGGTACATTGAACTCTCCGACTCTCAGGGTCCACTACTGTTTTCAATTTATGCCAATGGGCTCGACTGCAAGGAAGTCCTATTTGTAGATGACATCAAAATATGGTGCGTGATTAAATGCGATACCTATGAACAGACTCTACAAAAAGGACTAAACCGTCTACGCGAATGGCCTTTAGATGTCGGAAAGTACTTTACAGAACCGGTCTGGTTCATCTGGACCATATTTTCCGTGAGCAGTCAACCACTGGACGACGTAGCTCAGCCCCTCAGAAAAACGATCCTTCCCCTTAAACGTTTCGTTCTAAATGTCAGATCCCTGCTAACTAAGATGTCTTTTCCTCAGATTCCGGTGTTCGTTCATTGTCCAGAAGTTATTTTAGTAACTGGGACTTGAGCAACAACTGCCATAACTGACTCCGAACACTCTCCTCTAGGCTACACCTGCATTCGCAGTGATCGTCAAGCCAGTCGTGGTGGTGGGAGCTGCATCCACATAAAGCAAACACTTGCATTTTTTCCGTTGGATTTTTCGCATTTTTCCGTGGTAGAAGACAGCTGCCGGCTCCAAGTTGCATTAAAAATAGGTCCTCCTTACTGGTCGGCTGTGTCTGTCGCCCAGATAACGCCAGTGAGAATTTTGATCGTTGTCCCCCACAGGCACTTCATCCCGCGGCCGGATTAAGCTTTAAGTATCAATTGGTTGCGGGTGACTTCAATCTTCCTGAAGTCCGCTGGTTTCCGCCGTCCGGCCCCAAGAGACCGAAGACTTGCCGAAGCTGTGGATGTTGGGATATGGAGTCACTTTGTCGATTTTCCCATCCAAGGATCAAGCATACATGACCTTATTTTCTGTGGAGGCTGCATGCCTTTGTCAGTGTCATCCCTAGACCCACTCGTGGGCTCAAACCATGACATAGTTGTTTCAACTTTAGAACTCGAGGCTGACAAAACGTTGTCCCCAAAGTATAGCTTTTTCCTCTATTTCCGATCAGCTTGCTCGACCGAATTGTTAACACACCTTATTTCCTACGACTGGACTGATTTCTTCCTCAGTTCGGAGGTAAATGTGTGCACTGCTAAACTGTATGAAATTTTTGATTCACTTATTCCTCGTTGTGTCCACCGTGAGAAAAATATTGGTGTTGGAGATGATGTTTATTCCCTACTACCCTTTCGCCGTAGGTTGAGCAGACGTTATCATCAGTTCCAATGCAACGAGCGCAAAGGACACTACTGACAATCCCAGATTATGCATATCAAGATAAGACAGGAGTCAATAAAGAACTGGTAATCAAATGTAAAACGACCTGAAAATCCAGCAGATGCCAAGCGCGTAGCGTTGTGCCGAGTTCCTTTTATTCAGTTAGGCAAACAGTAAGTTCAGCAATGATGAACAGGTGGTTAAAAGTACGACAATCTAGTGCCTCAGCACAATACCACCCTCCGAGACCGGATGGCGACGGGGACGACGCCAAAGCTATGTACAAGTCTAAAGAGATGAGTGACCAACCGATGAGGAGAGTGCACGTGACGATCAATGCGAGTGATATACACAGGGTCCGTAGAAGAGTGGATACGTCCTAAGGCAAAAGAGTTGGATTTAGAGGTGGCAGTTGGAGGTAGCGGACAGGCGGGAGAGGGAAAATACGGGACGGTGGAAGAGGCTGGATGTGGGGAAGCAAAATTAGGGGACCACAGGGCTCATCCGGACGAGTGTCCGAGACGGCAATTTTGAGGCGGTCTATACTAACGACCTCCTTCCGATTGTCGCGTTGAATGCGGATCATCTTCGTCCCGCAAGAGAGCTCCCGGAATGGGCCGTCATAGGGAGGTTCCGGACGCCGGCGGACTCAGTCACATCGAAGGTAGACGTGAGAACAGGTTGCCAAGTCCTTCTCCAGATAAAACAGAGAGGCGGGTAACCAGGGCGGAACCGGAGAAAATGTCCGCATAAACTGTGGTGTTCAAGGATGTGAGATCAACTTAAATGACGCACAATAAGTTCGTTTCGTCTACTGTCAGAAGTCAGGGAGCTGGGAGGACTAGTTTATTCTGTACACAGGGCAGGTTGCCGTAAGTTGGCTGTTTGCTTGCTACAGAGATAAGCGTCCGTTCACGGAGAGCGTCAGTCACGGTGTGTAGTTTACGCGGGAGTGAAAGTCTGTGTCAGTAGGTGGGGGTGACTGGTTGGATGCTGATCATGAGATTGGACTGATTAGGGGAGGATTAGGGGGAAGCATAATTACAGGGGCTTACGGGTATCAAGCCAGGTCGTCCGACGCGCATGAGGTGATAATTGTTTGTGGGGGCAGCCGGGGGTCACTGCAGCTGGACAGGAGCGGGGCCCAGTTATAATCGGCCGGGGTGGTTGTGTGTCAGCGGCCTGGCAACGATTGTCGCGGCCATCGACCGACAAAACGGAGCCGGAGAAAAGGAGGACTGGAGCGGCTGCTACAACTCCCCCCCCAGACACCAAACGGAGTGAAGGCGTCGACATGCTAGCCAGCCACAAACCTGTCGGGCCAGTGGACGTGACGACCAGATCGTGCGCGGCGAACCGGAGGGGGGCTATCGCCAGTAGGTGGAGGCACCACTGTTTGCGGTGGGGCGCAGTGTTGGGATGAGGAATGGTCACTGTCGTCGATGTACGCCGGCTTGACGCGATCAATACTGACTGTGTCGGTCTTGCCGTTGCGGTCGATGACAACGTCTTTGTCAGATCGACGAAGGACTTTATACGGCCCGTTATAGGGTGGTTGGAGTGGTCGTCGGACAGCGTCATGCCGAACAAAGACGAAATTGCACTTATCTAGGTCGGGAGGGATGAAGGAATTGGCCGGTGGCGCCCGAGGGGGCGTTGCGCGGAGATTGCGCATGACACTACGCAGCTGCCCCACATAACTGCAAGGTTCAAAAAACGTTAGCATGTTTGAGGGGGACACTAACTCACCGGGCAGTCGGAGGGAGGTTCCGTAGACAAGTGTCATTAATTCGCAGCTTACATATCCGCCTCCAAATTTTTTTAAATACCGTCGAAAATAGCATTGCCGTTCGAAACACATTAGATATTATATTATTGAATGCCAGGTCTGTTATAAACAAGATGGCCCAAATCAGAGCCATTGCTCTGGAAATGACGCCTGATATTATATGTGTAACAGAATCTTGGACACATTCTCTAATTCCTGACTCTGCCCTTCTCATAGATGACTTCGATTTTTACCGCCAAGACCGCACGACTAGGCGTGGGGGTGGTTGTCTTCTTTATCTTAAATCCTACCTAAAGCACTCTCCCTATTACTCAGATGTTTCCTCATTCACGGGAAACTTCTGCTTTGCATCTGTTATTCTCTCGCCGCAAAGAAAGGCAATTATTGGCTGTATCTACAATCCCCCAAATTCTTTAGCCAGTGATGATTCACAACTCTGTGAAATCTTTAAATTAATTTCGGAAGCTGCTTTCGATGTTAAAATAATCACTGGGGATTTTAACCTTCCTGAAATTGGCTGGGTTTCCAATAGCTGCCCACCCAGATTCCAGTCCTTTCAAGATATTATCAATTTTTCAAATTGGTCCCAACTGGTGCGCTCTCCAACAAGAGATAATCACATTTTAGATCTAATCTTTACCAATGACATTGCTCCTCTTTCTGTTGCTTTAAAAAAGGACCTCTTTGACACTGACCACGTATTAATTCATTGTTGCCTACCGCTTGCCTTTTCAAAAAACACAAGCGCCGTTCAGACTTTCATGAACTACGACTGCGTAGATAGCGATTTAATAAATAACTATATGAGATCCTTGGATTGGTGTGGCTTCCTCACTTGTAGCGATGTAACCATTCTTCGTGATGTCATGTCCAATGTTTCCAAGGACATTCTAGAGTTTGTGCCGCGTAGATATCTCAAGCCTAATTCTTCAGATTCTCTTGTTCCTCATTTTCTTCAGAACAGACTAAAAAAATTGAGGCGACAACTGCGTGACCTATCCACTAGTTCCTTATCAGTTCATCTTAGAATCACGGAGATTTTTGAGATGGCCTCAAGGATGCGCCAAGCGCGCGACAGGCAAAGAGAATCAATTGCTCTCAGTGGTTCGAACCCTGGCAAATCCGTCGCTAGCATCTACCGTCATCGGTCCTACTCTAAGCGTGGTCATGAACTTCCACCCATGCTAAATGATAAAAAAGTTCAGAAGATGAAGATGCGATCACTGGGACAAGAAGTTTATTTGCCTGACGTTTCGGATTCTCACTCGAGCCCATCATCAGAGACATTCGCAGATAGAGGTGAAGGTGGCACCAGGAGTGCAGTATTTATAGCACGTGGCTGCCGTGGGACCGTATGCGCACTGCAATTAACAGTTCTCACAATCGCCGCTGGGGTCGTAGTTGATGCGGCGGTGGCTTGGCGGTCCGAGTCCGAGTTGTTAATTGCCGTGATTTCGTCATCCGTGCTCGATGCTGGTGTGACGATTGCTCGGCAAACTGGCTCACTGTCACCGTGATAATTGCTCACCCGCGCCCTCCCCAC